TGTGTGTGTGTGTGTGTGTGTGTGTCTCACCGCTGTGCACTGTCTCTGCAGGCAGGACTGCTTCATCCTCCCCGGTCCTCCGAACTTCTTCATGTCCTTACAGAAGTGACACTCTCCGCACTCGGTCCTCATGCAGGCCTGGCAGCGCCGGCACCGGGTCCGCCTGCGCCGCGCCCCGCTGCCCGCCCCCCCGCCCCGCGCCCTACTGCCCGACATCCCCCAACAAGTCAGCTGCACACAGAGAGAGAGAGAGAGACGGGTCAGAACCAGACTGCAGCCGGGCCCGGCCTGAAGTCTTCCAGAACCTCAGGACTCCTGCAGCTAGCTGCATGACATCAGGAAAACATAAAACGGGTTAAAGTTGCAACGGCTCTGCAGAGACAGGAGGCGACATGCACGCAGAGTTTGGGTTAATATTTAGTGCTACTAAAATATTATGATGGAAAACATATTTTTAGGAAAATAGTTTAACAGCCACACTTTCATCTGAACCAGGATTTATACCAGTAAGCTGCGTTTAATCAGATTTCAAACTAATATTCAAGATCCAGTTTCCATGAGAGATCATTTGTGATAGAAATGATTAAACTGATTGGTTAGTTCTGCTGACTCACATATTAAAGATGAATCTAGATTTTTCTTTCACAGCACCAAACAAAGAATGACATTGTTCTGTTGCCCTGCAGCCCCGCATCATGACCCCTCCTCCTCCATGCTGCATTCAGGCAGAGCGGTAAGCCGAGGAGAATCGTCTTCCTCAACCCGAGAGCTTCAGAACTTCAGAGTTCACAGTGCTGGACTCTGAGGAAAAGATCTGGCAGCCATGTTGGTCAGGGCAGTAATCAGGTGTGTCCCAATCAGTTCCAACTCAATTCTGATTTGACGCTGCCGCAGGTGACAGGAGGAATGAAGACGGGCTTCCTCTGGTTCTGGTTCTGACAGACCATAACGATCCAGCAGCAGGCCCAGCGGGCATCGGGTCACTGCCTGCCCACAGAGTCAGCTGTGCTGCCCCTGGACTGGAAGCTGTTTTTATTTTTACCTCAGAGTGGCCAACACTCTGTTATTCCTATATTTATTTGATACAACAGAGGCTTCCGCACTTCCCATATCTGTGTCCTCCGTCCCTTTTTTCAGCCATTACTACGATTTAATCCGTTGTTAACATGTCGTAACGTGTTTTTCCGAGCCGCCTTTAAATGCAACATGAGGGCTAAGATGCGAGCTGGGTTTACACCTGTGAAGGAGACCTGCTGCTGCTGGGCGGAGCTACAGGTGTGTTAGAATCATGGCAGCAAAATGCAAAGAACTTTGCACAGATTTTCCCCCAAACTAACCGACTGAGTTGATTATAGATGTTAGATGCAGGTAATGTTAGCTGAAAGGTGACAAGCTAATAACAATACAGGTGTCTATGTTCAAAAGTAGGCAGTGCTGGTTACATCCACTTGAGTAACTTTTTGGGAAAACATTTTTATTTACAGTTTTACATCACTGTACTGTCATTTACTTGAGTAATATTATTATTGCTACGTAGATTCGTTTTGCATTTAAAGAAATAAACTTCAGAGATGGGAAACATTCAATTTTTGCAACGTATGAGCTAATGTTTTGAACATAATACCTCAACATTTTATACACGTCACTGTTCACATCCATTGTTTATTTTGTGTTAATAAACATGGTTAATTATCTGAAAGGTTACATAAAGGTTTGTTTAAGTATTTACATTAAAGTAAAAGCTGGTTTACCCTTCCCCCTCAAAATAAGCCGATTATTGATCAGAACCTGCAGCAGAACCCGCTCTGGAAGACCTCAGAGCCCAGAGTCTGTGGTGAACCGAGCCTGGTCCTGAAACCAGACCCGGTAGAACCAGTTGGGGTCTACCAGAGAGCGCCAGGTCCAGGTCTTCACCCATCCCGGCCAGCTGGACCCTCCAGTAGAATCAGCAGCAGCTACTGGAGGGTAGCTCCAGTAGCTGCTGCATAAGGAACATGTTCCTTATGTTCCACCATGAAGGAACATAAGGCTTTATAGCTAACTCAGTTCCTGGCGCTGACCCGGCTGCAGGACGGTTCCCGACGTTGTACAACAATCTGCTTCTGCAGCAGCAAAGTGATCCGAACACACCAGCAGGTTTCTCCCTTAATAAGCAACACTTTGTTTAAAATGTATTTTAAGGTTACTTGTTTCTTTGACATTTCATTTGGTTTGATATTCTGAAACACTGAAGCGAAACAAACATGAAATAAGAAATCAGGAAGGAGAAACATTATATAATACCATCCTAATATTTATCGATAGTGTCCTGTATAAATATTTGACCTCCAAATGTTTCATAGGTTCAGCAGATAGAAAATATTCAAACAAAGCTTTTATAGAAACAAGAGGTCTGACTTTAACATAAACTGCAGGTTTAAACATGTTTGTTGTTCATTTAGTGAAGTTACTCACAGTGGCTAGAAGAACCAGAAATGTTACTCAAGTACAAGTTCAGTGTAGTAAAACGACTCCTAAAAATACACTTGATCCAAAAGGTATCTCCAGTTAAAGTAAGCAGTTACTACCAGCCTTAGTCCAGTTATTATCTGGCTGGTTTTTATTCTGACAGTAACCAAAAGCTGCAGATTCCCAGTGATTGTGTGTAAAACACAGCAGGTGTTAAATCAACTCCTATGAAGGCAACTAAATATAGAGTTAATGATTACAGCAACAGATCCAATAACAACAATATTGATCATCTGGAAGCCCGTTAGCTCCATGTTGGCAGCCAGGAATAATAAGGATCTGCTAATGGCTAACAGCTAGCTTGCTATAGCCGCCTCCATTCAGGCATCTGCACCGCCGCGCGAGTTATTGTTGTGTTAATTGAACAATCACACACCTGTACCACACCTGTACAGACACCCAGTCCCTGCCCATAGCCCCCCATCCACACCTGCAGGAAAACACAACGGCAGGTATGCTAACGTGTTAGCAAGCTATTTACCCCCTGCGGCTGCTTCCTCCTTCAGGATCCCAACATTAACCAGCTGCAGTCGAGAAGGCGGAAGGGGGCGAGCCCCCGGCTGCGGACACACAGACACACGGCGGCCTCTCACCTCTTCCTGCTAGCTCGCATGCTCCTCGCTGGCTCATTAGAATCGATATTAGCCAACAGTTAGCCGTTAGCTTCAGCTATTAGCCGTTAGCTTCAGCTCAGCGCTTCCTTGTTTGTTCCTCCGCGGGGCTGCTGCAGCTGCTCTGTGCTCCGGGCTGCTCCCTCACTCGTGTCCCATCACGCTGGTTCCGCCGCTCCGCCGAGCTCCTGGGCCGGGCCAGCCTCACGGACCCGCGCGGGGGTCGAAACGTCTCAGTTGGTGAATCGATCGCTGTGGATAACGTGAAGGGCGCAGCGCCACTGAGGAGCTGGCGGAGTCGTGCCCATTCACTCCTCTCGCTCTCGGTCTCTCTCTTTCTCTGCAGTGAGAGTCTGCCTCGCTCTGCTCCTCTTCCTCCTAGAAGGCTTCAAAAAGCACAAAAACACACTAACGCCTCGCTCTCACCAGCGCTGCCTTCTACATCCCCGTGTAACCCTCCGCTAAAAAACTAGTCCTCGCGCATTAACATGAATCAGTTAAAGCGCTGCGCGCGGCTTTTGTTCTCGTGTCTATTGTGTGTGGCGCCTGCTTGTTGCGTGTTGTGCGTGGTTTGGATCACCGCTGTTGTCAGTCAACTTGTCACCTGTGACACGTTTCTAACCTCCGCATTGATTACATCACACAGGTGACCGCAGATGCCGCGTGCCGCTTCACCCTCGGAGCGTAACGACAAAAATAAATAAATAAATGGTGGAACAAATGTAGTAAATAAAATATGGACAGGAAAACTGCGCACGCTCAACCTCTGCGCGATGACGTCACATAACAAGCAAGGAGTTTTGGGGTGTGTAGTTTTTTTAACTTTACCCCAAAATAATGAGTCAACTGATCAGTTTAAAATAAAGTACAATCAAAACATAGATAATGAAGACAAAATGTTGTGGACATTTATGACGTAAATAAGGTTATAAAATATATACATTAGTAAATCAAAACACGGAACAATCCAACACAAACTACTATGAATCCAGATAAGCAGTTCTTACAACAGATATATTTCTAATGCAGCTGTATTTGACTTAAGGTTTGAATTGGTGCAAAAACTGTTAGTCTTTGTAATTCCGAGTTCAGGAACCTTTCTAGAAATTTGTAAAAATATTGAGTTTGGAAATCTTTACTTTTTGTTTGTTTGTTTGTTTGTTTGTTTATTACAAAGTACCAATTAATCACTAAAATAAATGTACTTATTCTTAATTCTCACTGAAATTGGAAGGGAATATGTAGATAAAACATCCAAGAATGTTGAGAACAAAGTAAAAGCCCTTTTAAGGTTTTTACTTTTTAGTGTTTTTCTTTTTCATTTGGCTGAATGAAAAAGAATTTAATTCAGCCAAAACTTCAGCTACCTTCTTCCTTTGAAGGCCTCTCCAGTTAACGTTTCACCCTACCAATATGGTGGTCGCGCTGACGCGTCGCATCAGCGTCCATGGCTCCTCCCTGCCCGGCCTCTGCGCAGCTAACAAGCTAAGCTGGCTCGGCGGCTCGCAGCTTCTCTCGGTGTGGTTAGTTAGTTTGAGACGCACCGGCTCCATCCACAGTACGGTGCCGCTCACAGCGACCTGGTGGAACGTTCACGCCCGGCATAGGGACACCGAGTTCGGACATCAGCTTACAAACAGGTGAAAATGATTAAGCTGTTCTCCCTGAAGCAGCAGAAGAAAGACGAGGAATCTGCTGGAGGAAACAGAGCCGGAGCCGGGGGGAAGAAAGCCAGTGCGGCCCAGCTCCGAATACAGAAAGGTGGGTCAGTAACCCGACCGGGGCCCGCTTGGCTGCCCCGGCCCCCAGCAGGGCTTCCTGGACGGGTACCGAGCAGTAAACACCGGGTAAAAACAACCGCTCTGGAGGAGGATCGGTACGTCCAGGCCGGCTGTTGTTACCCAGGCAGGCTAACAGTTAGCGCCACAACCAGGAGCTAACGACGGCTAGCTCCCCCTGCCATAGTTAAAAACAAACTGAGCTAAAACGTTCACACCCTGCTAGAACTATACCCAACACCTGCCTAATCCCAGGTACCATGGAAACCTGGTTTAATCACAGATTTTAACCTGTCAAAATGGTTTTATCAGAGGTTTTAACCAACTAACCTGGTTTAATCAGAGACTTTAACCTGTCAAAATGGTTTAATCACAGATTTTAATCTGTCAAAATGGTTTAATCACAGATTTTAATCTGTCAAAATGGTTTAATCAAAGTCTTAAACCTGTTAAAATGGTTTAATCAGAGACTTTGACCAGCTGTTGGAGGTTAGAGGGGCGTTTTGGTGAATCCTGACTGAACCAACATGTCTGCTTGGCCCGGTTCCGGTTCTGACCAGCTGCTGGTTCTTCCTGAATGTCGTCACCTTTAATTCTGATGCTGTAACCACGGCGATGATAAAACTCCTGATCTGTCCCACCTGCTAACCTCCATGTTTTCTGTTGTGAACTGAAGCGATGGATTCAGGATGATGATGATGATGATGATGATGATGTGTTGCAGACATCAATGAGTTAAACTTGCCAAAGACGTGTGAAATCAGCTTCCCCGATGACGACGACCTTCTCAACTTTAGGCTCATCATCTCGCCAGACGAGGTGAGTTCAGGAACTCTAACGGCATTAAAAACATGGACGATAACGTTTTGCTTTCTCATGTTTTGATAGTAAAATTATTTTGTTAATAATCACATTTTCTTGCTGCATCTGTAGTTTTTCCAATTCTTTATATTTTCCTTATTTTTTATGTTTCAGGCTTTTTCCTAACTGGATTAAATTTTCATTTTCCCTCTAATTCTTCATCCAGCATCCCATAATAATGGGACATGATGATGATGTTAAAAATGTTTTCCTCATTCCATGAACGTCTGGTCGGGTCTCTGATCTTTAACGAGCTTTTTGGTGAAATTCAATCAGGCGGCCATTGTGGTCTGGCCTCAGCCTCTCTGCTGCGTTCAGGGCACATTGGGACGTTGGAGCGTCCTGCATTGAATGTTCAGGGTTTCTACTGAGTCCAGCAAAGTAAAGAATATCTTCCTGATGTTCACCTGGTGTAGACGGGTGCCGGTATTGCTGTTCCCAAACTGGTCTAAAATTCACTGATTATTTATTCAAAACTTGTATTTTGGTTTTGAATCTGTTACAGTAGAAGCTCAGCTGTGGTCCAGTTGTAAGTTCTGGTGTGAAAACAGGTCAGAACCATGAGGTCGTTGATGGACGCAGAAACGTGGTGATGAAGAGTGTTTTTCTTCATCATGCACATTAAATGTTTGTTTTCTCTTTCAGGGTTTTTACAAAGGAGGAAAGTTTGTCTTCAGCTTTAAGGTAAAATTTTAGTTTGAATTTTGGCAGAAATTCTTCCTCGCAGCCGGATCCGGTTCAGATATTTAGAACATCGAGTTTCTGAAATGAAACTGGAACTCATATATTACTTATAATTATCACACATAAAGTGAAATATTTCAGCTTTAAGATCAGTCTCAGACCCGGTGTTCCGACCCGGTGTTCCGACCCGGTGTTCCGACCCGGTCTGTGTGTTCCAGGTAGGACAGGGTTACCCCCACGACCCCCCGAAGGTGAAGTGTGAGACGATGGTTTATCACCCCAACATCGACCTGGAGGGAAACGTCTGCCTAAATATTTTAAGGTCAGTTTGCAGAACCAGACTGGACCAGGAGGTTCTGTTGTGTCCAGTCTGTCAGTCATCTTTAATTTGATTGGGTTAAAACGTCTGAGAAGTCCTGTTTCCAACCTAAATAACAAAGTATTCTGATATATTTAGATAATGACAGATGTTTGCTCAGTCCTTGTATTCAGTCAGTAATGACCTGAATTGTTTTCTGTTGTGATAAATGAAGACGTTGCTAACGGCTGTCTCTGCTCTCCGTCCACAGAGAGGACTGGAAGCCGGTTCTGACAATAAACTCCATCATCTACGGTCTACAGTATCTATTTCTAGTGAGTTCAGTCTGACTAGTAAAAAACATTTCAGTTCCTTTAAAAAAAAAAAAAAAAAAAATTATTAGTCCTGTTCAGTCCACTTCTACCCTACTCCAATCCATCTGCCTAGTCAAAGTCTGTTTGGGTTGGTGAGGCGTGAACGCTAGTCAACCTCTGGTCCTCCAAACCTCAGTCTGGGTTCAGATGAAGTGAACTCTGGTTTAGTTTGAATCCATATATGAACACCAAGCGGACCGTAGACCACTCCAAAAGCAGGAAGTGGACTACAGCGCAGGGCATTCTGGGTAAATACAACCAAAGCTAATGTGCTAGCCTAGCGGTAGCAGCAGAAATGGCTCCTGGTCTTTAGCCTAAAGAGAAATCCTCCAACCGCTAAAATCTGACGCCTCCATCTTGTTTCCATCTGGTGAAGAAGGAAGTTGCTCTCAGTGTCTTCAGAGGGTTTTGTGTCGTTTCCTTCAGTGGTTCTTGGTGCAGCGCCCCCACAGGCCAGGAGGGGAACAGGTTGGTTTGACTCAGAACCACAGCAGCTGGAGGAGGAGCAGGTGGTGGAGTTCTGGTTCCAGTAGAACTGGGTCGACCGGACCATCAGGAGGAAAAACAGCTTTAGTCTGTTTTCCCTCTTGTTTTGAAGTATGGAAACAATTTTTATTAAGTAGATATTCTTATCTGTTTTTTATTCTTGTTGATCAGCAACTACTTGTAACATTAGCCCAACTGTCTTCCTTTGACATTTATTACATGCCAGATTCTGTGCTGATGATCACAGATAAGTTAGACTCGAGTAAAGCCAGAGTTTCCTTCGCTGGACGTTCAGCCTGGTGGGCCTCCAGGCTTTTCCTCCCGCCCCGCCAGGCTTTATCTCTTTATTTTAAACTCAAGTGGAGGCAACAAAGCTTGTTTTACAGTTGATGCACGCGTCCTTTCACCCAGAATGCTCTGTTTGGATCATGTTGTTGCAGAGCAGGTTCACCTCTACCAGTCAAACAGTCTGAAAACTGGATCAGAACCAGAACAGTTTGGACCCAGTCAGAGCTTCTGGCGAGAAACATTTAGGTTCTGGTTCCAGGCGGTTCTGTTCAGCTCAGCTAATGTTCCTGACCCCAGCTGATCATTTGACCTCTGACCCCCAGGAGCCGAACCCGGAGGACCCGCTGAACAAGGAGGCAGCGGAGGTCCTGCAGACGAACCGGCGGCTCTTCGAGCAGAACGTCCACCGCTCGCTGCGGGGCGGCTACGTTGGCGCCACCTACTTCGAGAGATGTCTGAAGTAGCCCCGCCCTGTCCCGCCGTCCTCCAAGCTCCTCCCACTCCCCCTCTCCCCCTGTCTGCCTGACCCCTCCTTCTTCCTCGGCTCCTCTTCGGTCGCCATGGCAACGGGAAGCAGCACGACGCAACACGCTTTCCAGTTTTACCACAGAAGAAGAAGCTGCACCTCCCTCTCCTCCTCTTCCTCACCTGTCCCCTCCTCTTCCTCCTCCTCCTTCATTTCTGTTTCACTTCAGCCATGACATGCCACGGTGGGGCGGGGGGGCGGGGGGCACCAACGACAACACATCTGAGCGGACTCTGCTGAGGAGGAGGAGGAGGATGAAGGTGGGGTGCTGAGGATGGACAGATGTGGGGGAGGGGTGATTGTGAATGTTGCTCTGATCAACGTCACAACGCCCATGATAATGATGCTCACCAGATTGTTTTCCTGTTTTTATTTTGAGTGCGTGGCGAAGACGCCTGACATCACACAGGTGGTCTGTAGGACACGCCCCTTCCTGTCACCGCCTTCATTCATTGGCTACAGATCAGAGAAATGGCAGCAAACTCCAAACAGCTTCCTGCATCCTGCAGGTCTAGCAAAGGGGGCGGGGCTTCTCACTTCCTTCCTGCAGGAAGTCTCTGATTGGATGGCTTCTCGTTCTTGAAAGGGGGTGGAGCTTCTCTCTTTGATCCTACTGAGTCTAGCAGAGGGGGCGGAGTTGTGTCCTAATGTTTTTGCACAAAGTTTATAAAAGAGGTGGAGCTTTTCATGCAGGAAGTATAAAAGATGGGCGGAGCTTTTTGCTTTCTACCTGTGGGAATTTCTTCTCGTTTTTGTCCAGTAAGTCTCTGATTGGATGATTTTGTCTTAAGGGGGGCGGAGCTTATTTCTTTGTTCCACAGGAAGTCTAGCAGAGGGGCGGGGCTTCTCACAAGTCTCTGGGTAGATCTTGGATTGTTTCTTAAACGAGCAGGTGGAGCATTCTTTTTTCTTAAAGTCCAGCAGATGGGCGGAGCTATGTCCTAACATTTTTGCACAAAGTTTGAAGGGGCGGAGCTTTTCCGAGTATTCCTGCAGGAAGTGTTCCCGATGGGTGGAGCTTTTTGCATTCTTAAAGTATGCGGGGCTTCTCACTGTGCTCTCATAGGAAGTGTAACAGAGGGGCGGAGCTTCTAAATCAGAGGGAGCAGATTCGCCTTAATTTTTTTCTTAAATATTTTTAGTTTTTTTTAGCTTAAAGTGGCCACAACGCCCCCTGTTGGGGTGCTGTGGGAGGTCAGGGGTCTGAGTAAAGGGGAGGAGCTAGTTTTAAGAGGGGGCGGGGGGGGCTAGGACGAGTAGCAGGTGGGAGGGGCCAACTCTTGATGGAGGGAACATGCCTTAAAGTCTTTGTAGCTGTTGATTGGTGGGTCGATCGGCATGGGTGGGGCTTATTCCTGCAGGAGCCACCTGATAGGACAAGATGGAGTCCATCTGTTTGGAGTTTGCTGCTCAATAAATCCCATGAAATGTTGGTGGGCGGGGCCTAGTATGATGTGGGCGGGGCATAGCTTAGTGGGGATGCTTGTTTAAATGAGTGGGGTGTGGGTGGGCCTTTGATTTTTATTTTGGGGAGGGTTTGGGGGGAGGGGCTTGAAATGTTACGATTCTATTGTGTATATTGAAACCCCAGCTGTTCACTTTGACTGCAATATGATTTATGTTAAATAAAATATGAACTTGAATGACGAGAAAACTGTTGCCCTCTGGCTTCGGACCCCAACCGAAAACCAGGAGTCACCTCAACGCTGAAATAAGGGCGTGAATTCACACTTTAACAATTATTTTGTAAATTAAATATTAAAGTGAAAACATGAGATCAGAAGTTTACATACACCTTTTTTCTCACTGTCGTTAAATCGGACCAAACTGCTCTAGGTTCAGGTCAAAATTATTGAAATTATTTCTATTTGCTAAAATGATTAAGAACTGACAGATTAATTTATCTTAAAATCAGGAGTTTACATACACCTCAGGTCACGAGTTCTCATCCATTCCTGATAGAACCAGTAGAACTGGGTCAGGTTTGTAATCAGTTGGTGTTATGTAGCACACCACATCCTCCTGGAGCAAAACAGCTCCACAGCATGATGCTGCCACTCCCATACTTCAGTTTGGATGGTGGTCATGTCCAAACGCTCTCTTTAGTCTCCAGAAACAGTTTTTGTCCCCTTGTGGCGTCATCCTTGCTGAGCGGCTCTTCAGCCTGTTGGTACAGAACAGTTTGACTGGATGACCATGTAATTCTGGCCTCTGCCTGCAGGGGGCAGTGTTTGTTCTCAAACCAATGATCTGAACATTGTTTAAAGCAGGTTTCATCCACAGTGCAGTTTCAAGTTTTGACATGATAAAAACTTTATCATGAATAAAGCAAAGCAATGAAAAATGTAATTCAGCCTGGAATTAATCTATAATCCAGTTATTAACCAAACTCTAAGCGGTTTAGTACGGATTTAAAGGAACTCAGGGTTTTGGCTGTTTTGCAGTTTTCTGGAAGTTTGTTCCAGATCTGTGGTGCATAGAAGCTGAATGCTGCTTCTCCATATTTGGTTCTGGTTCTGATGTAGAGCAGAACCAGGACCTGAGCGGTCTGAAGGTTGATCTTTGATTTATAAACTAAAATATTTTAAAGTTTATTCTTTGAGCTACAGGGAAATCCTTCCAGCATTTTCCTTTAGCTGGTTTTCCAACTCGGATCTAATGTAAGAACTGCTTCCTTATGCAAATAATGACAAGAGCAAATCAATTCATTTAAAAAACTAGAACTCTAAAACAACTGATTATTCTGTATGTTATAAAGACATATTTTACATTGCCACAGGTTTTATTCCTCCCATATTTTATTATTAAAGTAGGAAAAAACTCCACATTTCTACCATAATACCATCCAAGTATTTCCATTAGTATCTTAAGATCTTCACAGATTGGCTTCATAAACTACAAACTCTGAGCCTCAACATGGTAACTATGTACATAAATTCATTCACTTTAACTCAGAGTTTCTCCACCCTGGTCCTCAGGCCTCCTGTCCTCCATGTTTCAGGTGTTTCCCTTCTGCTACCTGGATTGTGTCTCTGGGTGATTAACAGGATCTGCAGCTCCTGATGGTCCTGCAATCATTTGGATCAGCTGTTCTGGAACAGAGGCTCATCTAGAACATGCAGAGCAGGGGGGCTGAGGACCAGGATGGAGAAACACTGATTTAACTTATAAATCACTACATCTAATATATTATTGCATGATCGTCTTAAAGGAGGAAAAGGCTCCTCTATCTGAGGATCCTGTCCGGTTCATCTGCGGAAAACCTCCACGTTCTGCAGGAGCTCCACCTCTTCCTTCCCTCCTCCGTAAAGTCTGAGCCTGATTCCGGTCCAGACCCGGTTCCCCTCAGGCCCGGTCCAGGCCCCGTTCCCCTCAGGCGGGGTGATGCTGGGCGGTGGCCAGGATCAGAGGAACCTCCTTGTCTCCGGTGCCGAGCAGAGGAAACATCCTCTCGGTGAACTCTGTGTTTGTGTGGAAGCTGTAAATCTCCGTTCCTGACTTGACGTTGTAGAAGGAGACCTGACCCTCCTCCACGTCCAGGAAGATGCCCACCTGTCGCAGCTTCGGGTGGTGACCTTTCACCTGCAGGGCGGAGACAGAGAGCAGCCGGTGGCAGCATGAGTTTCTGCCCTCAGCTTTCAAACGTTCATTCTCAGTTGGATTCAGGTATTTAAAGGGCATCGCTTGCAAAGTTCCAGTCAAATATAACGGCAATGTTTGGGTTTGCTAGCCTGTCATAAGAGGAGAATGGGTGTTCAAATTTCAAAGTCATACTTTCACCATGTTTACTCATTTATAAATGTCAGCGTCAAGCTACATGTTTAATTAGCAAGCTAAATATTTACTGATTATTTTCTTTCATGGTAAATATTTAATTTCCAGACTGCATTTAGAGTAGAAGCTAAACATTTGGCTTTCTAACTAATTTTTGACTGTTTAACTTCAGAAATGGCACCATCACAGACCTTGGTCAGAGGCGGTGTAGTGAGCGCCCTCAGCTGGCTGCCGCACCACCAGATGGCGTAGTATCCGTTTGTGGGACTCATGTCAAACAGGCCTTTCCTCTGGGCCGACTCAGTTACCACACCCAGTTTCCAGTCCTTGTTCTCCCCAACAGAAACCTGCAAGACACAAAGCAGGGTCTATTAAAGCAAGTTCTGGTTCTGTTGACCAACCCTGTGAAGAAACCTTGACACTTGGCCTCCCACCAGAGATCATCAGATCCAGAGATTCCTGCCCATGACATGACCTTGATTCCAAATAAGAAAAAACCCTGAAAGAGACTCAGGTCCTCAACCAGATCTTGACAACATCAGCAGACTGAGGACTCATCTATAAAACCCAGACTTACATACGGATCCATCAGAAGATGCCACTAGTCCTCAACGAGAGCTGGACTGGCAAAACAGTGTAACCATCACCTTGAATTTAAGACCACCAAGATCTCACATTATTTAAGAGCCCAACCCTTTGACCTCCAACCAGGTAAGATCCTGACCCTCATCCTGACACAGAACAAGATCTTAACCCTCAACAAGGCTCTCATCCTCAACCAGATCAACGCAGAACTAGAACAGACTCAAGTGTTTGTGCTTCCTTGATCAAATCCTGACCTCTAAGAAGAGACAGACCAAACAGAGAAGCGTCACCCTCACCTTCATCACCCATTAATCCAGATTGAACACCTGACCAGGATCTCCTACAAAGTAAGATTCATAAACATTGAGATCCTGAGCTTCCCTCTGAAGGAGAACTCCATCAGATCTTGACCCTTGACAAGAATCACCTTCAACTGGCAACATCTCAGCACATAGCAACTCCAGAAGACTCTGGCTTTCTTGATCTGTCATCCATGAGTAGAGCTGGCCTACCAATAAGACAACATCCTGATCCAGAAAGTCCCAATCTGTTCCAACATTCGAGTCCTTACCATTCGGTGCTACCCACACCAAAGTCCTGGTAGAGGGTCTCCGCCCCATTGTTGTGATCAACAGTCTGAACAATGTGTTCTTCACCCTAATCTCCAGTGGTCCAGGCCCTCTGACCTACTTTTAACAAGATTCTTACTCTCTGGTATGTTCAGTGTTAGAGAAGATCTCACGTGAATACTGGCCTCAGAGATTTTGGCCTGGAAATAAAGTGAGATCATCAGCTTATCTTCAACCAAACAAGGAGCCTGATCCTCATCTAGACCAGATATTTATGTCCAAACATCTCAAACCATGAAAAAAATCCAAATATAAGACAAGCTTTAAACTTGGATCTTCCTGTGGCCTGTACAACATCCTGATCATTTGCCTCGTTTTCACTGCATGGTACGGGTCGATGCAGTCCGGTACGCTATTTTACGGTCCACTATGTTCAGGAGAGCGTTTCCACCATCAGCAGGACTCTCACTGGACAGACGCGGTTAAACCCAAACACCTAACATGACGCTAACAGTACCAGTACAGTAACAAACATGATGCACTGCTGTGTCGTTTTTCCCATCCCCCAATCAATGGACTGTGCTGTGTGACTAACGGTACTGTACCATTGTCCTTTGGACCTACAACTGAAGGGAGCCCAGGAACGGCAGGCCGCCATTACAATGGAAACAGACAAAATAGCGTACCGAACGTCGCCGAACTGTTCCACACCAGTCAATGGAAACGAGGCATTTAAGGAAGACAAGAAGCCACTCAACACCTACCTCATCGTCAGCAACAACTGGCCAGTAAAATGAATGTAAGCGCCACTCTGATGCCAAACAAAACAAGATTCTGACTGACCTCCCAGTAGTGACGCCCAGAGCTAAACCCTTCCTTGGCGATGACACAAGACCAGACGTCGAATCGGTGATGGCTGTTTCTGAAAAACTGCAGCTTCTCTCCTCTCTTCAGCTGCTTCCTGTCTTCTGACAGGATCAGGAACGGGTACGCCGTCACCGGGTTCAGCGTCACATCCTCTGAAGAAGCACAGGATGATATGTGAAAATACATTCAGGTCTCGGCTGGACATCAGAGGTCATGACAGACTGAGCAGAAAGAAACAGTTCTGTCTCGGAGAACATCTATGCCTTTCAGCCGTAAGATCAGACAGAGGTCAATGATCTGAGGTACACCTCACCTATGTAGGCCCGGGCTTTCTTCAGTCCTAAAACAGAACAAAGAAGAACATTGAGAAGAAAAACTCCAGTGCAGAAATTACCTTCCTTTATTCTCCAGAGCACCGGATGATTTGGTGATCAAAACAACTGGACTGAGAACCTGCAGAGGACTTTTTGAGCATCGTTGTTATAGCAACCGCTGATCTGATCAATTTCTCTTAAAATAGAAAAGCTTGAGGAGTTTTAGGTCCAACTGATATTTCCTGGTGGTGGAGCAGTCGCCTTCATCATTGGCTTGCAGCAAGAAGGTCCTGGGTTTGAATCCCAACCAGAGGCTTATCCAGGTCTGGATCTAAAACCCTTGAAGTCTGCGTGGCTGTTTCCGGTGAAACAGCCACGCAGACTGATGAACCGACAAACAGTCGACTTCTCATGTTCTCTAAAGTTCAAATCAAGGATTATTAGCTGTAATCTGTGTATTGCAGTAATAATCCAACAATCTCAGTGGGATGACTGTCTGCATGTCAAGATCAAGTCCAACTTGAACAAATGTAAAACTGTTGAATCTACGTACCTGTAACATGCTTACTCTTCTTCATGTCTGAGGAGGAAAACAGAACAAAACTGAAACATCTCCAGTAACAACAGGACTTTATTTCTCCAACCACTGCAGGAAGGTCAGGCCTGACCCTGAGCCGTGACCCTGAGCCGTGACCCTGAGCCGTGACCCTGAGCCGTGACTCTGGTCTCTGGTCTCACCTTTCAGAGACCACTGACTCATCCTCAGAGTCGACTTGCTCCCTCTCAGACTCATCATGCTCTCGGCCGCCATCAGGTCACCTGGCGGAACTGGAACAGAGGCCGTTCAGACTCTGACCTCTCACCTGGAGGCCCACCCTTCATGAATGTTTGACTTACAGTCTTTGGAATCTCTGGAGCCTCTAGAACCTCTGGAGGCCCTCGGGCGGATCTCTCCCATCCAGATTTCGTCTACCTTGATCTTGACGTCGGACAGACTGCTCTTCACATCGTCCAGGTGGAAGTGAAGGGACAACTCGGCCTCTTCATCAGCGTCATCATGTTTCTTTTCATCCAGCGGAGCCGTGGCCTCCTCAAAGCTCTGAGACGAGGGGAAGAAGAGAAGAAGGTGAAGAAGTCTTTTACTTGTGATGCCTCCAACACCGGCCGGTCAGCTGCTACCTGTAGGAAGGTGATGTGATCCTGACTGACGGCCTGGACCTCCAGCGTGGCCCTCCTGTCGGTCAGTTGGCTAAGCTCCGCCTCCAGGCGGTGCACCATCGCCTCCCCCTTCGACGTCACAGCCTCCAGCTGGTTTTGGATCCCACCCACCACCTGAGTCCGGATCCGGTCCAGCGAGGCGGACACTTCATCCAGAAGGTGCTCAACATCGCCTCGCTCTTTGTCTGCGTAGTTCTGAGACCAAAGCACACAGAACTTCACCAGGAAGTTCTGACCCGGTCCAGAGTAACCGGCAAAGACCTTCAGAAAGTCTAAAGAACTGCTGATGCTGAGCGTCAAAGTAGTGCAGCATATTACCGTAAAAATCTCTCAACGCAGATAAAAGCATAAACATTAGCATGCTCCCATTAGCCACTTGAATTTCAGGATGATGGCCATTTTCCAAGATGGTTGCTATTTCTGAGACTTTTAAGCCAATTATTGTCATAAAATGTTTGCTATGTTCATGATGTGGATGAACTTTGGCCATCATATTCACTTTAAAATAATATGTAGAAAATCACAAACTGAACTTTGCTGTTAATGAGTCTTAAAGCAACAGGAAGGAGATGAAAACGTGAAAGAGACCGAGACACTCGCCGCAATGGTTAGCGTTAGCTTCCACCATTTTTTCTATGTTTAGCAGCATAGGATTAGCTTAAACCAATTGTTTATGTGTTTAGCAGTGTAGCATTAGCTTCTGATTATTTTTGTGTTTAGTGGTAGCAGAGTTAAGATTCTCATTTAATGAATTAGTGAAACAAATGTTTTGGTTAGCTGTGCCCACCGCTGGCTATAACTACTGAAGGTCTTAGTGCAAACAAATTCTCCATTGCAACCATTTTGAAAAATGTCCACCAGAAAAAGGAAACAATATCTCACAAGAAAACATATCTTATTTCTATGGTCTCTGACTGACACCAAACACTTTCATTTAATTGGCAATTTTAGTGCAAAAATTCCATAATAACCATGGAGGCCATCTTGAAAAATGGCTGCCATCTTAAATTTTGACATACAAATCTTGAGTAAAAATTTTGCTGAAATGTTCAATTATCTGCTGCACTATGGGAGAGTACAACTGCTTGATGGGAACCATGAAGAAGGGAGGAATGGACCAGAACCATTAGAGCTGAAGAATGTGAGCCGAACCGGACCTGCACGGATTCCAGCTTCCTCTTCAGGTCGCTCAGACGGATCTCCTTCTCTTTGATGCAGTTCAGGATCTCCTGCTCCGTCCTCGCCACCAGTTTCTGAACACAAACACGACGTGATGAAGAACCTGCAGAGCTAACCGGACCCGAGCAGGATGCAGGTCCTGTCTCTCTACCTGTTTGCTGAGTCTCTCAGTCTGGACGGAGACGGTTTTGTGAGTGCGATGATCCTGCAGGACGCAGATGGCGCAGATGCAGCGCTGACATGTCTTACAGTAGACCTGGAGACAAAGAGACGACGACCCAGACATTCAGCAGGACAACATGGAGACAAAACACTACAGACAGACATGAACAGACAGTGAAGGAAATAATTCTAACAGTCTGTGAACATTGAGGAGAAACAAATTACCGTTACAGGAAATCAGTTTATCCACGGTGGCTATGCTAACTAGCATTAGTATTGATGATAGGCTATGCTAGCTGCAGTTCGGTAGAATGATTTATATTTTTTGTAACATCTATTATAAAAATTCTCTTAAACTTCAACTTATTGAGGATAAAATGATCCACTTCTGCATTTCAGCCTGGAACATTTCCTGGAAACACAGGAGAGCTCATTCTGCTCAGCAGACCAGTGTGAACCCAGTATGAACCCAGTATGAATCCAGTGTGAACCCAGTATGAATCCAGTGTGAATTCAGTGTGAATCCAGACTGAATCCATCAGGTCTGGAGCATCTGGATCGCCCTGATGCTGAAGGTCAGGTTGTGCTGCTTGCCTCCATCAGGCGGCGGTGTGTGGAGCAGGTGCGGCCCCTAAGGGCCTCCTGGGGGTCCAGCAGCGGGTGCTTGGCATAGAAGGCGGTGTTGTAGTGTGGCTGCAGGTGTTCACTGCAGTAGGAGGCGGTGCAGGTGAGGCAGGAGCTGACGGCCGGCTGCTTCACCCCGGAGCAGACGTCACACCACACCACGTCCCCCAGGGCCGCCGGCGCCGGGAGCGGCGACAGGAACGGGTTGGTGCTCCGGCCGTCCTCCATGGCGTCCAGCGAGCCGTTCCCCACTGGCGCTGAGAACCCCGTGGCGCCGTAACGCGTCTGCTTGAATTTATCGGCTATCAGAGCGAAGACCTTGTTGATGCTGAGCTGGGGACGCTCGTCAAACTGCCGCTTACACAGAGGACAGGTGCAGACCGAGCTGGACGCCCAGTACCCGCCGATGCACGCCTGCAGGGACACAGAGGTCAAAGGTCAGTCAGACAGCGGTGCCCCAGGGGCATCAGGAGGGTGTTACCTGGCAGAAGTTGTGTCCGCAGGGCGTAGAAACCGGGTCAGTGAACAAGTCCAGGCAGATGGAGCAGGTCAGCTCCTGCTCTGAGAACAGTTCTGGTGCCTCCGCCATCTTTGAACCGAGCTGTGGAGGAGAAACCCGGTGAGCAAGTTCTGGACTGGCTCTGCTCCCCGGCCCAGTTCTGGACCAGTTCAGATCAATGTTTACTTTTGGACCAATTTACTCCCAGTTCAGTCAAAATGAAAAGAAAACAAGGAATCATGAAGGTTAACCATCACATTTCCTGTTTAACTTCAGAAGCAGCGGCACAGGTCTGCTAATGCGCTAATAACAGAGCTAAGTTTTAGCTTAGCGTTTTTGCTAACGCTTAGCTTCCCCTGTTATTTTTCCAGATAAATTATAAAACACCAATTTCCTGGCCTGTTTTGCAAACTTTCAGTTGAATAAAGTTTGACGTGTTGAAGTTTTGGTTATAAAATAAAGGATTCTTCAAGTAGTTAGACACTTATATTCATGTAAGTGAATATAAGTGTCTATATATTATATAGACACTTATTTTGAAGTGTAGCATTTTCATTTCTTCACTTCACATTCTCCGTTTTATTTTTTTAACCATTTTTAAGCAAAACAAAAAATAAATAAACCACAGACAGTAAAGCACAAGACAAATACAACATGGAGCACGTAGATTATGTCAGCATTAAGAGTTGTAGTCTTTAAAGGGCAAATATAATTTGGAGTTTGTGTTTTAGTATTACCATGTTGGTTAGCACTTAACCATTAATTAACTATGCATTTAATTTAGAGCTAAGTATTTAGATTGCTAATTAAATATTTAGTTTGAAACTGACATTTACAGATTAATGAATAAAAATATGACTGAAAATTAAGTCATGTTTTTTTCTTCCTTGTAACCCAAAATGTTGCTGCTTATTTTTGACTGACTTTACTAACGGCTTCTGGTGGGTTTGGACTGGGAACAGACTGGAACTGGACCAGGTTCGAACATCACCTTGGACCCAGAACCCGTCAGATAGAAAGTCCAAAGATCAGGTTGCACCTGGAAACCTGGAACTGATACCTGGAAACCTGGAACAGC